GAAAGAAACCTGGTTGAGACTGATCTTGTAGATTTCCTTGTGGTAATAGTCTTTAAATAACCAAAGCCTTGGTTGCAGCACATGGGGTATAGCAGCCATTTATCTTTTGGTCCTTATTTTCTCTTCCACATTCCCTTCCTATCCAGTCATGACTGTTCACAGGGTAAAATAAGTGTGAGATTGTGGTGATCTTGTTGGAACTGCTTCTACTAATGAATCTTCTTGGCTTTAAATTAAACAGCTGAGAAAGAACTGCGGTTATCCAGCTCTTTTCTCATTATTTTCTATCAGTGAACATTTGAAAAACTGGTGGACTCAAAGAGATACAAAAAGGAGGTACTTGGCCAAAAATAACTAAGCTGAACATGTACATAGTTACCCTTCTTCCGTGAAGGAACTTAATCTTTGGGGAAACTAGAGGGATATGTTTGTAGCTGTTATTTATGCTATAGGAGGGATAGGACCAGCTTCCTAATCCTTGGATAGAAGGAAATAGAGTTTTGAATGTTGGTTTGGATTGTTGGTTTGGTCTTTTTTAATTCTCTGTTGACAACCCATAGTGTTAACTTATTGGAAAAATCATAATTACACTGCATTTCCAGTCAGCATCCCCCCTACCTCCACACTGCACCAGTAACCGTGTTGTTTTGTGTTTTCTTTAAGGAACTAACCCATGTGCAGAGAACAATGGGGGCTGCAGCCATCTGTGTTTCTTTACACCCCAGGAGACCAGGTGTGCCTGTCCCATTGGCCTTGAGCTATTGAGTGACATGAAGACTTGCATCATTCCTGAAGCCTTCTTAGTTTTCACAAGCAGAGCAGCAATTCATCGGATTTCCCTTGAAACAAATAATAATGATGTTGCTATTCCTCTTACTGGAGTCAAGGAAGCATCTGCTCTGGATTTTGATGTCTCTGATAACAGAATCTATTGGACTGATGTTAGTTTGAAGGTATTACTGACATGTGAATTCCCTGAATATAAAGGCACAGAACAGTTACTTTGATCTAACAAAGGTCTCTGTTACATGATCTGGCCTGCAGTTGCTAATGTTGTCATTGAATTGCATCCAAGGAGACTCTTGGAGATGAAGACAGTTGCATTGTTGAATGCACAGTTGGGTGACAGGCATCTTCCTGCTTCAAAGAAAAATCCAAAGTAGTGTCTGCCCATACCGAATGCCTTGGATGCTGCATGTGTTGCATCCATATATGCATCTATTGTAGAAAAGCTGTTTCCATGTGACAGAGTAATTTAAACATTGAGCTTGGCAACCACCCCAGCTTTCTATCCTTTCCCAGTTTTGACTTGAAAGGCGATCTTACTCAATATTAACATTTGGCAAGTGAACTTTGGACTGGTTGCTGTTAGTCTGTGGCTCCAGCTTGGCACAGTGAAGGCCAGGGAACTTGTCCAGTACCCTCCACGCTGTGTTAAGCCCCAGCCTGTCCCCAGTTCTATCTCAGTGTGTTCCCCAGGAGTCTGACATTGCCTGTGACATGTTTGGGTCACATCCAGGTGCATGCTAAAATGAGTGTTGCGCTGGTCATCACATTACTTTGCTTTTGAAGTGGAGTAATGGTAGAAAACGACAGATTCACTTCACTGGAACTGAATTCCTCTGTTTAGCCTTCTAATAGGTTTTCCAAGAGCAATCAAAGTTTCCTTGCCAATGTGCCTAAGCCATAATAGGGAAAAGCTCACTTTTAGTGACTGCAGGGCATGTAGAGTTTCCATAGCCTCTCCGTGAAGACTAATGAGGGTTGTGCTTTAGCGTTAACGATGCTGCTTGTGGTGTGGATACCTTTCCTTCAGGAACAGTGCCAATGTAATAAATTAGCATACTGCAGACACAGTTACTAAATAAATCTCCCACAAGCACATGGAGAGCTGGACTGTGGTCATCTTAACCATTTGTACTGGAAAATACATTACTTCAGCTGCGTCAGTGCATAGATCCCAGTCTCACTCTGTGCACAACTGGAAAACATGTTACTTGTTTGTGGCCTGCTGAATTATCCAGAGTGCTCTATTTTCACATATTTATCAGTGTATGTTTCGACACATCTGGGTTTTCATTCCCTCTGCCCACTCGCCTCCTGCAGCTTAGCAGCAGGTAGTATAACTTCAGAGCCCACAGCCTTCTCCCTTTCCTTTGGTGACCACCACTTCCCCGAGCTCCTCCTGCCTCTGGTTATATGAGGACTCACTTTCAATAAGAATTATACTTCTTTTGAGATGTGGGTTATAACTGTAAAAATATGCTACATGATTTCTGGTTTTGAGATTTACCTTTAAAAAGCTCATAGAATCACAGCCTGGTTTGGGTTGGAAAGGGCCTTAAAGATCATCTAGTTCCAACTCCTTGCCACAGGATAAAGTCTCTTAGCCCGACACATTCATTTTTCAACTCATTAAGAAATGAATAGCTGAAATATTAGCAGGTATGTAGAATGATTGCTTAGTATTGATAACAAGGGTGGGTAATTGTACATTAGTCCTGGAAGTTACCAGTGATTTAGCTGGGGGTTGTTTCAGTGCTCCTTGTTAGGAGCATCTTACTTGTATGCACACGGTCCTTGCCCCATGACAAAACAATTTGTTGAGTGTGCTGAAGTGTAGATGGGATCAGTAAAATTGCTCCTGGTGACTAGTCATGAGAAACAGTTTAATTCAGACTTCTGTGAGTTGAGATTTGTTTCTGAGACTTAAAACATTACAGTGAATAACATGATTAAAAAAAACCCCACCGAACTTTGGGTGTTTAAATAGGAGGGAGAAGAGATAAGGAAGAGCCTGCAGATATGTAGTGCTTTCTGAGAATCATACCCTTTTAAGATGTCCTGGCCTGGTCATCGGAAACCATTAGCTTTGAAACTTCACATCTTTTCATTCTGTGAACTGGTGTATCTTTTTTGACAAAGAAAAGTCATTTTAAGAAATGTGATACTGGCTGATTTTTCACTGATTTATTTTCGTGTATACTAAACTTGATAGTAATCATTCATTTCATTTCTGTGGGCTATCTGTAAACCCTGTAATATTTTTACACAATTGTTTTCCAGACCATAAGCCGAGCTTTCATGAATGGAAGCTCTGTTGAACATGTGATTGAGTTTGGGCTGGATTATCCTGAGGGAATGGCTGTAGACTGGATGGGAAAGAACCTCTACTGGGCAGATACTGGAACGAATCGCATTGAAGTAGCCCGCCTAGATGGACAGTACAGGCAGGTCCTTGTGTGGAAGGACTTGGACAACCCAAGGTCTCTGGCTCTTGATCCTACCAAAGGGTAAGGGACAGTGCTATTTTTTGAAGCTTTGTGTGCATATTCTTGTACATTACAGGTTAATTGGCAGGTTAATTATATAGCTCCATTTATTTAGGGTCTTCTGAAAGATGACAAATGCTTCACAACCCTATGGGTTACAATGAAAAATTAAGAGTTGTCAATCATATATTTCTGCCTTTAAGTACTGCAATATGGCATGGGTTATTCCTTTTTTTTTATTATCTTTTTAATATTATTAAAATAAATGTAGAAAAAGCAAAGCATGCAGCTAAACACAGTCTTAGCTGATGTACTCTTTTGTTCCACTTCTCATTGCAGATACATGTACTGGACTGAATGGGGAGGTAAACCTAGGATTGTTCGAGCATATATGGATGGAACAAACAGCATCACTTTGGTGGACAAAGTGGGTCGTGCCAATGACCTCACTATTGATTATGCAGACCAAAGGCTATATTGGACTGACTTAGACACAAGCATGATTGAGTCATCAAATATGCTAGGTAATCTAGTGTTATATTGCACCAGCCAGTGCACTGCCTGTAGTAATACAATTGAATAATACAAAATTGGAATAATATAATTGATATTAAACTTGTGTGTATATTTTTCTTACAAGAGGAAATAAAGAGTTAAATGCTTAAGGATATTCTTTAAATATTCCTAAATTAATAACCATATAATGATTTATAGTGATGATGAGATAGAATGTCATTTCTATATGTTAATATGAAAATGCCTCTTTTACCAAAGCAGAGGTGACCTCGTAATTTCATAATGTGGACAGCTTATAGATGCACTCTAAAATACCTCTGACTTTTCAGTCTGGACACTCATTTTCTGTTGAAGTATTATCTCTGTTTCCAGCTTTAGACTAGTTGTATTAGTTGAAAACCAAAACCAAACTACAGCTTGCATTTCCTGCAGTCTGAAGTATTGTGCAGCTACTTCTGCAGTATATCAGAACATGTTTTGTACACAACTTTATACATTTTCATATCTTCCACTGGAATTTTGTTTATACATACAAGGGGTGTGCTGAGATTTACTAAACTTTCATATTGATTTTGACATGATAACTAACTGGATAAAAGAAGGAACTTTTGTTTTCTGCAGCTGACACAGAGCTTTTGTATCATCCAGATGTTTCGTAAATATTAAGTGGTGTTCAAGGTTTTAGCTGAGGCAGATTTTTGAGAAGAGAGTTTATGTAAGTTTCCAAATGCCACACAGTGAATCGGAGATAGGATCAGAAATGGAATCCAGAAGATCCTGACCTGACGTCCTATCCCTGTACCATTTTCAAGGAAAGGCCTTTGTGAGATGGGAATTAATGCCTCTGGGGTTCGCATCTTAAAATCGAAGTATATTTGACAGAACACAGTATTTAAGCAAACTTCCACATGATTGTTACAGCAAATGCTCTGATTGAATACATATACATCCCCGCAAATCTTTTTTTTTCTTTAATCTGTGAAAACCTATCCTTAGAGTGAGATTGTTAGATTATTTTTTTAAGGGTTTATTGTATGTGCATTATTGCCAGAGAATCTACTAAGCTCAGGAAAAGAGAGAAAGCGATGCAGTTTTGGATTCCAGTGCTATCACTGATTTTGCATTTCTTGCATTTGTTGTTTTGGGATTACAATTACTGAACTGATGTTACTGTTTAGAAGTTGCAGTAAGATTGTTCTTTATCTAGAGTTGCTTATTCTTCTATCCAGTGTCCATGATCTATTAAAGCTCTCACTAAGCTTCTACACTCTGCTTGGAGAAACAAAACAGCCATAGGCAAGGTTAAACTAGAAACTGATGGTGGCATTGAGAAGAAACGCAATATTGAAATCATCTGTGGTAAATTAAACTGGTTCTAAAGCTGAACCTACTCTTAACATTTATTTGTGGTGACAAAGTTAAAAGGATGAGCACTGAAGCTAACAACATTGTATGATGTCTTTTTAGTTGGCAGGTTATAAAGACTCAGGTAGATTGCTGCTAAGTAGGCTCAATCAGTTAAGGAAATGTTATTAGACTTGGCCTACACTATGCCATGCCAGTCTCCTTGCTCAGAGAGATCTGAATGGATGTTGCTGACAGAAATGTCTGCCTCACCAGCAGTGAATGGAGCCCTCCTAAGTGGATGAATGAATGCTGTCCCAGCTTGATCTTGGGCATTATAAACATAACCTAGAAGGAAAAAAATCACTTTTTTGGGGATATTCCTCCATCTGCTGTCTATCAAAATTCAATTAGACAGCTTATCTGCTTCCTTCAAAAAAGCCTATCCCCTGAATTCATCACTGTGGACCGGAATTGCTTTAAGAAGTACCTGAGAGTGTGCAGGTTATCTGTGCCCCTAACTTGGAGACTTCAGATGCCCAAAAGTAATTGGGAAGGTTGCCTCTATATTTACTTTTGGTGTTTTATAGGGAAATGGCTTCATGTTCTTGTTTTTGGGGTTTTCATTGCTTTTCCAGTCTTGGCCAGATGGGAGAGGGTACAATGGTAAGTAGGGCAGGGGAAGAAAAATTGAGTGTTCTGTAGAATCTAGCATTGGATGTTTTGTGGAGGAGAAGATGATGCTGATGGAGGCTGCATCTTCATTTCATGTAAAGTGGCAGAGATTTCATAGAGGTTTATACCTGAAAATGTTTAGGAAGGTGACTTACAATAAGACTATCTACTGTAGTAGTGTATCATCTGTGGCAGAGGCCATCTAATGCTCTGGAAGGTGTTAAATCTGTTGTGAATGTTGCTATCTGAGCCGCTGAGTGTGGGAGTATTGGGATTTCTGCCAGACAAATGGTTTCCTGATCTCTTGGGATGTTAAACTGCACTGCGAAAGATTTGTGTTTCTGCAGTGAAATACCATGATTTCTTAAACTTGTTTCTCTGTGAATCTTGAGTTTGTTGTGTGTTGTTGCTTTCATGCATATTAACCGGGGGTTTTATTGGCCTAAGATATTCCTGGAGCTAGTAGTATTCTTGAATATGTTTTCCTGCATCTGTTTGGGATGATAAGCATGAGACATGCAGAGTAGTATTTATTTAAATGGCAATACACTGACAGTTTCAGATTGCTTTATAGACAAGACAGTATCAGGATAAGGTTTTGAATGCAAGTGTTTTGGTTACCTCTTGAGCAGATACTAGTTAATAATAAATCCCATGATGCTGACTTGGGAAATGAGGTTTTATGCTAAAAATGGAAGAAAACACCTTTTCTTGATGCCAGTCACACTCTTCATTTCATGACTTGAGAATTGTCCTTTAGTTCATTATCCTTGTTTTTGCAGGACAAGAGCGAGAAATCATAGCAGATGATCTACCTCATCCATTCGGATTAACCCAATACAATGACTACATCTACTGGACAGACTGGAATCTTCACAGCATAGAAAGAGCAGACAAGACCAGTGGGAAGAACAGGACACTTATTCAGGGCCATCTGGATTTTGTGATGGATATATTAGTCTTCCATTCTTCACGTCAAGATGGCTTGAATGATTGTGTGCAAAATAATGGCCATTGTGGTCATTTGTGCCTTGCCATACCAAATGGATTTAGGTGTGGCTGTGCTGCTCATTATACCTTGGATCCCAACAGCAGGAACTGTAGTTGTAAGCCTTCTGTTTGCTACTCTATTCTTCAATGCTTGTGGCTCCCGGGTGTTTGTGATCCCTTTCAGTATAGAAAGAGAAGGGATATCTTGAGTCCATTTCGTCAAGGGCTGTAGTGATAGGACAAGGGGTAATGGGTTTAAACTTAAACAGGGGAAGTTCAGATTAGATATAAGGAAGCTCTTTACTGTGGGGGTGGTGAGGCACTGAAACCAGCTGCCCAAAGAAGTGATAAATGCTCCATCCCTGGCAATGTTCAAGGCCAGGCTGGACAGAGCCTTGGATGAGATGGTCTAGTGTGAGGCATCCCTGCCCATTAGAGGGGGTTGGAACTAGATGATCTTAAGTTCCTTTCCAACCCAAACCATTCTGTGATCATAAGATTCTATGATTTCAAAGGTTCTGCTTTAAATGTGAGAACATAGTATGGAGTTTTATATCCATTTTTGTGACGTGAATTAGGGCTGAAGATTTGTATTTCAAATCTTAGATATAACAGCACTGTCAAGTCTGGTCTTTCTTGTTTTATTAGAAGTGCTTTCTAGGTGACTCAACTGAGTGACTGAAGCTTTCCCAGTCCTTACCTAAGTATGTAGGTGGGTGGAAGATAAATTCTAAACAAAAAAAAAAGGTCTTTTTCTCTTCAGTGTTTAATAAGTCATCAAAAATAACATCTAATAAAACAGCCTCCTAAGTAATCTGCGCAATGTGCACATGCACTTGGAATCCATGGAAGTTTGGTTTCCCTCTGCATATCATAGATATTATGAGCCTGCCAGTTCACTAGTTGTCCAGTAAGAATTTAAGTTTCTAGTTAAAATAGCAGATGAATATAAAATGGACTGTTGACTTAAAATAAACCAACAAACCTCCACGCATCCCGGCACAGTAGCATATAAAGAAATTTTAGCTGAATGAAAGAGTGGGTTTACAAAAGGCAGGTCCTGCTTGACTACCTTGATCTCCTTCTATGACAAGGTGACCCACATAGTGGGCGGGGGAAAAGCTGTGGATGTTGTTTACCCGGACTTCAGTAAAGCCTTTGACACTATGTCCCACAGCATTCCCTGGAGAAACTGGCTGCTCATGGCTTGGGCCGTTCACTGGGTAAAAAACTTGCTGGGTGGCCAGGCCCGAAGAGTGGTGGTGAAAGGAGTTAAATCCAGCTCGAAGCTGGTCACAGGTGCTTCTCAGGGCTCGGTACTGGGGCCAGTTCTGCTTGATATCTTTAGCAATGATCTGGATGAGAGGATCGAGTGCATCTGCAGTTTGCAGACAACATCAGGTCGGGTGGGAGTGTTGACCTGCTGGAGGAGGGTACCAGGAGAAGTTCAGATTGGATATTAGGAACAATTTCTTCACTGAAAACATTGTCAGGTATTGGAACAGGCTGCCCAGGGAAGTGGTGGATCCACCATCCCTGGAGGTATTTGAAAGACATGCAGATGTGGCACTCAGGGACGTGGTTTAGTGGTCTGGAGTTGGCAGTACTGGGTTAATGGGTGGTCTTTTCCAATCTAAATGATTCTATGATGGTACAGGAAAACCTTCGACTGTGTATTGCCCATTGTCACTGGTGTTACTTAAATTCCACATGGGAAACATAGTTATTTTATAGTATGGAAAGAAAATACTTTCTGGGTGAGGATGTGCACATTTACCCTCCAGAAGTACACGAAGGAACATTTTCAACTTCATAGCAAAATTCAATTATGAATTATCTTAGTTTTCATTGTGAGTATAATTGTCTCTGGGATTTTGTTCTGAATGTTCTTAGTCTTCTGTGTGGATGTATTTTTGACCATGTGAGTTGCATTTTCTTATGCTTTCTGTTTCGGCTTGTTTCAGCCCCTGCCAGCTTCCTGTTGTTTAGCCAGAAGTCTGCAATCAGCCGGATGATACCAGATGATCAGCAAAGTCCAGATATCATCCTGCCTATGCATGGTCTAAGGAATGTTAAGGCTATCGATTATGATCCTTTAGATAAATTGATCTACTGGGTGGATGGACGTCAGAATATTATAAAAAGAGCCAAAGATGATGGCACTCAGGCAAGTTTACATGGTGTAGTTTTGTGCTGGTCTTTTTGTGTGCTTTGATTTTATGCTTGACTTTCCCTTTCCATCTCCTACACCAAGGAATCATCAGTTTAAACTTCACTCTTGCTAGCGCTTTCTCGTGTATATGCTAGTTATGTGTGAAAATTACTGAGGGCATTTGGGATCATGATTTTAATTTATACACAAAGATGTGTAATAGAATATAGTACATCATATGTATCTGAAACTTTAAGCCTAGAATTGCAATCTTTAGTAAAGGCTGAGCACTGAATTAAGGCAGACTCACTATTTAGACTCAGCACAGATAAACTGTATTCTAAAAATCAATATTATGCATGCCAATTGTGTGATAATATTATCATTGTAAAGCTCTCTCAAACTGAAAACTCTCAGCTATCCAAGCTGTAGTTAAACCCTGAGTGAATGCAGAACTGATTGCTGTGCCAGACAGGGATAGGCTTATCTACATGCTCAATTGTTTTAAATCTGTTGGGGACAGTATTCTTTTTGCCGCAGTTATTCACCCATCAGTGGAAAGAACACTGCCTGGAAGAAGAGTACACTTACGTGTTAACATGTAACTCCCAGGTCAAGGTAACAGATTCTTTAAAAACTAGGATTTGAGTAAGAATCTGAAAAAAAAAAAGGACAACGGGCAAGTTATATTTTGCTCTTTCTTGGGCAGTCATATCTAAACAATATGACATTATATCAGTGTCATACATCGAGGTGCTCAGAGGTTTAACAGTTCCCTTTAAAGGAAGAGATGATAGTTTTATTTTTTGGCCATTTCTTTTAAGCTTGGAAGGAGATTTGTTGGGATGAGCAGCTAGCTGGGCTGTGGATGAATTTTGAAGAAGTTTTGCTCTTGCTTTTTGGGATTATGCTAGGTGCTAATTGTTGTAGTCTAGCTTCTCTTTGGTACTTGCTAGGTGCAAATTGCAATGGAGATTCATTTTCTCTGTGTTTTCCTCTACCTTGGTCACCCAGCTTTGAAGATGTAGATCCCCTGCAAATTCTGACTTTCCAATCTTCACTAATGTATTTACTTAATTTTGATAAATCGTGCTATTTGCAGATGCTTCATATAACTTCATCCCTGAATAATGTTACCCTTGACTTTAGGAAAAGAATGATTTCTTTTTATTTCTAGTCTCGCTGTCCAGACAAAATAGAGATAAAGCTTAATATAAAAAGAAAAAAAGCCTGTATATCACTATGCAGAACTTAGATGCTTATAACGAAGTTGTTGAAATATAGCTCTCACAAGTAGTGCTGTGTTTGGTAATTCATTTGACATAAGTTGAGCGTGGAACAGTGTCTCCAGCTTTCTTGACCCATATGAACTTTTCCTGACACTATTTCTGTGTTTGGATTGGGAGTGCTGCATTATGACACTTAAGGAAGCCACCACTGTCCCCTCACCATCATCATGTCACCAGAAGCAGTCACCTTTGAAGGCTACTTTGATGTTGGGAGTCCCGCCAGCAGTATTACTATCCCAAGGGCACTGGGTTTGGCTGTATGCTAGTGGAGCCTGTGTAATGTTAAAGAAACAATGGAAGGATTATTTGCCTTTAGGGATGTTTCTATACACTCCAGTGTTCTCCACAGAAATAGTTTTGAAATCTAGTATTCAAATAGAGTTAGAAGTGTGGTAAATAGTATGCTGGAAGGGGTTGAGGGTAACATTTCCAGAAACTTGGCAATGTCAAGTTTTGTAAGGTCCATCATAAAGACCATGAGGGTGAAAGCAAGATAAGCTTGGTAGTATGGGTGTGAGACAGGGCTGTAGCCATTTGACATGTAAGCAAACAGAACCAAGTTCCATTAAAAGATCTTAGTTTTTAAGAGAAGCCAGGACTTAAAGAAAATCAGTATCTACAACACTCTAAATAATAAAGTAAGGAGACTGTGGCAAAAGGTTGAGATTTGTTCAGCTGACTGTGTAACAGTGCAGCTCTGGCCAGATGGCTGCCTTGTTTCTTGCATTGTTCCATTCAAGTTTGTTTTGTGCATAAACATTCAGTATTGTTTTCTTCCATCTTCTGCTAATTAATTCTGCTTACAGGAGGCCCCACAACTGCTTTCTGGGGAGTTTTGCATAATCTTGTGGATTTTCTCCAGATGTTTTCCCTCTAATCCACAGTTGGAATCAAATCCTGGTTTTTTGTTGTTATTGTTAAGCTTTATTACATTTCTTGTATTTGTTGTTTCCTTGTGGGTAGCTGTAGGTAGGTAGGTGAACCATGCTTTCTGTGCAATCAGTGTTCTTCAGTCATTAATCACAGTACTTACTGGAAATTGTTCCCCACATGTTGTCTTGCAGCCTTTCACTGTCATGAGTACTCCAAACCAAAGCCAGAACCCAGAGAAGCAGCCACACGACCTTAGCATTGATGTATACAGCCATACCTTGTACTGGACCTGCGAGGCCACAAACTCAGTCAATGTCCACAGGCTGAACGGCGAGGCAATTGGGATGGTGCTGCGCGGGGAGCACGACAAGCCCAGAGCCATCGTAGTGAACGCAGAGCGAGGGTGAGATTCCTCTCTGTACCTTGTACAGGGCATCCTTGGGATGTATGCGAGCTGTGTGTGTGGAGCTGGTGTTGCATCTGTGTATTTTGAAAAGGAGAATTTTTGTATATTTTACTGTTCAGGATGTCAGTGACTGACTGTCCAATTCTGGCTTTTAAAGGTAGCCAGCTTTCTCTTCCTGTTCTCTCCTTGGCTGCCTCCTCTGGTGTGCTGACTTAGACGTTCACACAGCCATGTGGTTGGTTATAGTAAGGAGAGGAAATAACTCAGGTGGGGAAAGCAAAGTAAACCCACCTTGTCCTGTTTGCTGTGTGAGTGCACAATCCAGCCACCTGATAGAACAAACAAGAGAATTTACACTGTTTTTATCAGCTGGGGATCTGGCTTATTAATATTTGGTCATCATAAAACAAATGTTTCCAGGAAAAAAGAAGAAAAGGAATCTCTCATATGATCTAATATAATAGTATAAAATCAAAGAAACAAACAAACCAACCCTTATGTTCTCTCCGCTTTTAAGTTAGTTCTGCCTTGATGTGTATCTCAAAAATTTCTGAAATTAATTAAAACAGGTAGGATACACTAAAGTGATTTCCCCAAGGTAGAAAATACCTTGTTTTGCTGCAGATCAGTTTTGGTTAGATTCAGCAGATCCCCACCTCCACTTCATGTGGTTGGTGGCTTCATTCTTAGAGGTCAAAGATGGTCCTTTACTGTTATCTTTAATAAGATAGATGCTTAAATCCCAATTTACTACTTACCATGTGCTTGACAGATGTTGAATGACAATGGTTTGTAACTGTGTGGATATGGAAGTACCCAGAGGCTCTGTCTAGGGTTGGTATTTTATGCAATACTCGGTGTACTCTGCACAGTGTAAAAACTGGTGTGGGGAGTGGAAGGTTAGAGGGCAGATTCTAATCTTACTGAGATTAGGTCACTTGGACATTTTTGTTCATATTTATAAAAGTTTTCCATTTGTATTTGTAAAAGCTTACCTGCTTTTCCATTAAAATGGAAGTTTGAATTTGTTGATCACCAAAACTCTCGTATTTTCTAGGCAGATCTGCATTCTGAACTGCTTCTGCCTTAGTTCCAGGAATACTGCCCTCCACCTCTCCCTTGGCTGCATGTTCTGACCTCTGCCCCTCCTCCTGATGTCAACTTGAGAGGCTGTGCAGCGATGCACACCACTGTGTTAGAGAGTACACCCATGTTATCCACCACTGAAAAAAATCACAGGCTTTTCTCTGAGGGAGTTCTTAGTTTACCATGAGGGTGCATAAGCCCTTTTTTTTCCTATGCAGGGGGTGGGTAGAGACTTTCTGTTTGCAGCTGAACTGGCTTAGGCCGATAAAAAGAACTGATGGAACTAAAACATCAGGAGAGGCCATCCTCAGCTCTTCCTCCTTCTGTGATCTTTGCTCCTCTCAAGTTTGGTAGGAACTTCTACTTGCTGAGAACGAAAGCATCCCAGAAGGAGAGGAGGTGGTGGTTTTCGTCAGAAAGAGCTTCTGGGCTACGGTTCACAGATGGGGACAGCTTTACCCAAGGATGGTTGAAGAAAGTCTCTGTTAGTCAATTACAGCCCTCACCTCCACTGTAGGAACAGTGCTGCCAGCACAGCAGTGCCGAGTGCTGAGGTGTTTCGTGGCCTGCTGTATTAAGAACAAATGCTATTAATTTCAGGCTATCTCAATATACCAGTTAGCAAATGTTTGGGGTTCTGCAGCTGACAGATCTGGATCTATGTGGCTGGGAGCAACAGTCACCACGGTCATCCCTGTGTAAACCATTCCCACTTACACGTAGAGCCTGTGAGCAAAGGTGAGTTGTCTCCTTCCTGAAGCGGCCGATGTCTTTGTTCTCAGGTACATGTACTTCACCAACATGCAGGAGCGAGCTCCCAAGATTGAGCGTGCGGCCCTTGATGGCACAGAGAGAGAAGTGCTTTTTACAACTGGGCTAATCCGACCAGTAGCACTGGTGATTGACAACAAACTTGGGAAGCTTTTCTGGGTGGATGCAGATCTGAAGCGCATCGAAAGCTGTGACTTGTCAGGTATGTGATATGCAGTTAAACATTGCGAACAGAGTACGTGTATGCACAAAAAGGATGGACTGTGGCCTTGCATAGCACATCAGAAAATGCAGGAGTCTGTTCATTGTTATTTTAGATCTAAGTCTCAAATAAGTAAGACCTGACAACAGGGCTTGGGTAAACTGACATATGAATAAATCAGCAGCTAGGCCATCACATGCTGGTAGTGGTATCCTGTGATTGCAGTTTCCTTTGTACACGTTATTCCTTCTCGTGGCATTAAAACTCCATGTAAGCATATGTTTGCATACTAAACACATACTTAAATCCAATTCTCTGGATCATTTTACAGGGAAAACTAAAACTTTCTCTGGTTAATATTGAACCCAAGGGTTTAGTGCACATTTATTTGATCGGGTCACAGCTGAAGAATCAAAACCTATAGGTAAGATAAATGCAGGAGAAAGCTCTAGGATTAGGAGAAAAACAATATTTATTTGTATCATGTAGCCAAAAAACGATGGTTGTATTTGATCCAGCTGAGCTCACTGTAATGTGCTTCATTGAGCTGTTGATTCTTTTTAATGAGTTAAGAGCATATTTTTATTCTAAAATATTTTGAGGTCTTGCATCACAACTTCAGAAGAAATGTGACAGCCAAAGTTTTGTTGGTTTTAATTAGTTCCTCTGAAAAGTGTTTTCTGAGAAAAGCACTTTAAAATGGGAGCACATTAGCAAAAGTATTTTAGTGTAAACTGGGGCTGCTGAATAAATTTGACCAAAATTGTGTATAATGTTCTTCATGCCAATTAGACTGGTCTAGCCAACTTATTCCCTCACAGGCTTGGGGAGATGATGTCATTATGGAGGTTTCTGAACCTTGCACTATATCCTCATTAACTGCATCCTGCTAAATCACGGAGTTGCCACAGATGTCCAGTGTTTAACTTTCAGAGAGGGTTGAAAGATCTATAAACTTGTCTAACAGTTTTCTTCATGAGTTTCTTGGAGTTTTCGGTTAGAGTTGTTGATGCGGTTTAGACGTTCATAAACCATTTACAAATAACTTGCCTGCCATGCCAGTCAATTAAAAAGTAGTATTTTATATTATTGTTGAAATGATTGGAAAAGATACCAAATTGCTGCAGTGAGAACTGCTTTGTTTTCAATTAGATTTTATATAGAGGAATTGTGTGTCCTTCCAGCTTAATGTTGTTTACATTTAACTATTGATTTCTATCTTGAAAAACTACACATCAGCTTCATTCTGGGAATCAAAGTATTTAATTACCATGGAAATCCAGCACTTCCTTACCTGTAGCATGTTTTATCTTCTTTTTTTCTAACCATATCTGTTGAAATTATCCTTTTATTTATTTAGATTGAGTTTTTCATTTTGGTCGTTCTTTTTAAGAACAATTTAATGGTGTCATCCAGTGTCATAGATACCCTTTGCATCTCCTTTTAAAATGACTCATTAATAGTTTGGACTGTCATTTAATCAAGATGATATCCAACGTAATTATAGTATAGATTAATCACCTTATCCACTGCTGTCTCCACAGCTTCCCAAGTCACCACTGTTCAGCTTTTTACAGATAAGAAAGAAAAAAAGATGATGCTTGATCTACTTACCCCAAAAAAAACTTTTTAGCTTTTTTTAGATTTAGCCTGGTTTAGGCCTGGATTTGGGAGGCTGTTCAAAGAGGCTGGATTCCAGCAGGACCGCTGGCTTGCAAGTGTCACCTGATGCCTCATGTATTCATAATTTCAGGATGCCTTCAGGATATCCTCCAGGAAACCAGCCTGTGTTTTATTTCTAAATGGATGAGCAATTTAGCACATAAAAAGTCACTAAGACAGGGGTTTTCTTTATATCGAGTTGAAATGAGACTTTCCTATTTTTGTTGTATCTTACATGCAGCTGAAAATTGTACTTTTGGGTCAAAATACAAGGTTTAGCCTGGCAAAAGGACAGTCACCTTTGAAAACCCAGTGACACTTAAGTTCACAGGAGTTAAGGGAGCTCAGCAGATTGCAGGACAAATAAAGCACCCTGTGCCTTGCTCTTTGAGAACCTCCTTCTGTTGAAAGGTTTCCTAGTATTTCTGCATAGTAAGACCTGCTTAGGAGAAGACAAAGAACATCTCAGGAGCTGCGCTGCTGGAGAGTAGTACTAATGGTCAGGTTTAGTGACATTAGTGCAGGTACATCTGTTGTTTTACCCTTTACAAGTACTGGTACCTTGGATGCCTTTTGCAAACCTCATTGGTTTGGAAACGGAAGAAATTCAGGGGTAAAGAACTAAAACCCCAACTGCAAGTCCAAAAAATTTCTGATCTCTCTAGAACTAAATCTGATTTGAATGCATACTGTTTGTCATGACAGTCAAGCAGAAGTCACTGCAGATGGTAATTTTATGTGCAAAACTAATAGAATCTGTAATTGAAATAAATGTTACATACTTATGCTTGGCTGAGGTCTATGTAATTTATGCAGCAAATCAGTTGAATCCAGTGCTCATAGCATTTTTATTATGTATCTCAGATTCTGTAATCTCATTTTGTGTAGATATTCAAAACCTTTGTTTTTTAAATGCAGGTAGGCATAAGGTCTTTATTCCAAAATGAAATACGAAAGCAAACGAAGAACCAAGCTATGATTTTGGTTTGATGCCTCTTTTTTAAAACCAAATGTATGCAGTATACATAGGCATACACAGCCTCAAAATGGTTTCTGTGAATTGATAGAATAATTCGGAATCTCTTGTTCACTCTAGAAAAGCAGTACAAAAGCAACAATTAAATGCTACTGAGTGTAGGGCAGCACATGGTAGAAGACTGCAAGCAATTCAAGTTAGAAGCATTCATAAATGCATTTTTACTTAACCTGTGTTTTACACAGTGGCCGAGAGCAGATTTTTGTACCTTTCTCTAGAGCAGATTTTTGTACCTTTCTCTAGAGCAGAAAACCTGAGCATTTGATAGCATTTCTGTTTAAGACCATACTGAGTTACTTGGAGTTTGGGTTTTCTGGTTGGTTACTGAATTAAAAAGAGAAGGCAAAGAAAGAAGTATGGCTGTTAGAATACGAGCCTTGACCATATCTCTGTGTTTGTGATGTAACATATGACAGGGTTTGTATACTTGCCTCTTACTTCACATGATAAATGTGTTTTATCTGAGTAACGGCAGTGAAGCCAACTGGTTGTATTTCACTTGTGCTTGTAGATTCCAACTAAGTGTATTGTTGCTCAGTGTGTGAATGCGTTGTAAAACTTTTGACTTCAGAGCTGAGTCTGCATCAGTGACACAGGCTTTGGAGACTGTGAGCAGTTGCACATAAAGGATGTCAACGTGGTCATGGCTGGCTGGCCAGCTGGTGTATGCAAGGATGAGCTCTGTTTCATGTCGTATCTGCTTGCCCTCTTGATACATCAACTGGTTGCATTTACTTGAGATGAAGCTGAAGAAGCAGAGCCTTGGTCTGCATGGACAGATGAAGCCAGATATGTTAGAATTAAATATATTTGGTTTGGTTTGATTTGGTTGCTGCTTGTTTTTTAAGAAATGAGTTAAAAGTCAACTGGTATAAACCTCGTCTTTGTTCTTGTTGATCTCAGGTGCTAACCGCGTGACCCTGGAGGACTCCAACATCCTTCAGCCAATGGGACTTACTGTGCTGGGCAATCATTTGTATTGGATTGATCGTCAGCAGCAAATGATTGAGAGAGTGGAGAAAATAAATGGATACAAAAGGACTAGAATTCAAGGCCGAATTGCTCACCTAACTGGCATTCATGCTGTAGAAGAGCTTGATATGGAGGAATTCTGTGAGTTACTTCAGTATCTGGCATCTCTCACTCTTGGTCACTGTCTCTTAAAGCCCTCATCCAGCTGAATATTGTAATAGAATTGCTCAGTGGACTTCAAGCAAGCCATGGAGTGCTTTCAGCTCAGCCAGCTGGGATCCTGGAAGCAGAGGAGAAAAAAGTTCCTCATTCTTTTCTAGAGGAGTATTTCTGCAGTTAGAATACGTGATTTCATGGCACTTGGTTACCTGCTTTGTAGAAGCTGACATGATATTGAATTCACTTTAAAAGCTACTTATAGTTATGGTTGTTAATTTTAAAGTACAACTGAGTAATAGCACTTGGAAGAACCTTTAAAAAGAAAGAAGATTGTACTTGTCTTTTCTCCAGGGTTTTCAGACCCCTGTGTAAAGCATGACTGGTTTGACTCAGAACCATCAGTGATGTTAAAGCCTCCAGTGAGGGAGGGAGAATGGGCAGGAAGGTCCTACAATGAATTATTGTGGAAGTGTAATTTCTCTCCCGTGAGAGGTGGAGCCATTTTAGGTCCTCCCTTCTAAAATGGGTCACACATGCAGGACCTTCTTTTTCTGGACTGGTGGTCCAAGTTCCTGTGGCCTGAGGGAGAGTGCAGAAACCTCTTAAAGCAGTCACTCCTCAGAGTGACAACCTGCACCTTCTCCTGCTTAACAGAAATGTAAAACAGAATTTATATATTTTCTGATTTGGGAACACAACCGTGTAGCTTCCTTAGGAAAAAAAAAATCAATTGTGTGTTGTTACATTGCAGTTTTGCACGTAGCAGGAAAGCTGAGGGGCTAGATGTTATGAGATCTTTAAGATTAAAGGAGAATTCCTGAAGGTTTTGGGAGTTGGCATTCTGCAGTGATGCATGTTAATTCTTCATGCGTAGAAATGCAGGTGGGATGTCTAGGTACACTGTAAATGTGACCTTCCAAAATCTGCCTTTTCATTCCTTTTCACCTGAGCTTCCAAATTCTTTTTAGAAGTCCTTTAAAGGTGTCCATGTCACTATTAAGTGGGAGAAATGTAGTCTTCATGAAGTAGTAAATCAGCTTTTGAGCACTGAACGGAAAAATCCTGCATTTATCTTCCCATTAATTTGTAGTCAAATCTTGGTTACTCAAACAGAACTGGTTTGTGAGTGGGTTTGTGAGTTTGCCCTCCCTAGGACTAGTTACGATTTCTTTTCTGTTTTCTGATATGCTTTTCTGTGTGTTTCTCCAGCTGTGCATCCATGCTCCCGTGACAATGGTGGGTGCTCACACATCTGCATTGCCAAAGGGGATGGGACTCCACGATGTTCATGCCCCGAGCACCTTGTGCTTCTGCAGAATCTCTTAACATGTGGAGGTGAGTTATGTTGAACAATACTGCTGAGCAGTTTACATCAGAAAAAATGGGAGCTGAGGTTGCATTCCATTCCAAAATGTGGGTTACACACTGTTTTTTTCCTACACATGGCGTGTTGCATCGTGTGTTAAATTGACCTTTGATTCTAATACCAGCTGGCTTCTGCTTCAGTATTTGGACACAAGTGGAGTTCTGATTGTGAGCAGAATATTCTTGTTTGACCAAAAAATACTTGTGTCTTCTACTGAGATTTTTATAATTGTGTGATGTGACATGTTTGTGCTTTAAACAAATGCTTACAAGGTGATGTTGCATCAGCCCATGATGACCTAGCAGCAGTAAAGGTGCTTATGAGTCCCACAGAGTCATACTCCAGTCTTTCAAATGAATTTGGCCTCATAGCATGAAGCACTGTGCTGTTTAGTTACGAAATGTGGGCCAAAAGCTCCATTGCAATCCTTTTAATTAATTTTATTATGCTAGCTCTCCTCTTTCCACATGGTAGACTTTTCCTTCAGACTGCTCTTTCACAATTCCTGGATTTTTGAGATTTGTTGTTAAGCTTGCAGAGGGAATTAAAAACAAACAAAAAAAATAGTCCTTCTTTTTGGGAGGCAGCATATCTTAAATCATTTGGCTCTGTTTGTCCTCTTGACTTCTTTTATGTATTCATTTTGCCATGGATTTCATTTTCTGGCTGAACTCTGACCTCCCAAGGGACAGTCATTTCCATTAGAAACGTCTTGCTTTCCCATGACCACAACACGCTATGTGGTTTTAGAGCAGTGGTGGTTACATCTGTGTGGGGAATCAATCTCCTTGTATTTCTTGCTCTACTGTTGTTGCACAACATGGTCAACAAGAAATTCTTACATCCCACTCCTTTGTTACCTTCAGTTATAAATCAAAAAATCCAGGGGTATCCATCAGTGTCTGGGGTTTTTTGATTCTAACCCTTCACTAAGCCTGTAACAACTTTTTAGCCTATCTTGTCTGCCATAGGAGCAGCCAACAGCCAGTATTTCAAAACATCATTTCAAAACAACAAAATATTTCCAAAGATTAATAGCTATTTTGGCTGGAGAATGTTTGTCCGCGTACCCTTGTGAATGCTCCTGACAAGTTTTTCAATGCAAGTTGTGCCTGCCAAGTGCAACCATAATGCAACATTAAATGTGGCTCTAAATGCAGAAGTAGGAATGTGTCTGTTGACCTATGTAAACAGCACACTCATTTCAGAATTTAATTTAAGAATTATCTTGATATGTGTATCTGGCATCTTGATCTTACCTACCGCTGACGGGTCACTGGCTGCATTTGCAGTTCTTATATTGCTTCACCAAATAATCATAAATCAGAAACTCTGAAATCGTAACATGTTCAAAAATAAAATGCATTTGGATTTTCATTTGCATTCTGGTTTTCAAGCTCTTGATTATAGTTGAGGCTCATTTTTGAACATTTCTCCCTAATGAAAGAAGGACAGCAGCACTTTTAAACTGGTTTGCGTGTAATTGCGTAGTTCTAGGATCTCTAACATTACCTTCAGGAAGAAAATACTCACACAAAAGTCTTGTCACTGGTTACAACTGCAAAGCTCTCCTTGTGCTGGGTTCGTTGTGAAGCCCACTGCTGAGCCTGGATGTTAATAAAAGCTCATTTGGTTTTCAGAGAGTTGTTGCCATCCAGTGTCAGAGCCCACCTCCGGCTTGCTCAATGTTGTTGTCATAGACAGGGTGTGATGTGATATTTTGTTGGTCCAAGTGGTAAAGCATCTACTTGGAGCATTCCCTGGCAACAGCAGCTGTTGCCTGCGTTAACTGATTTAATTACATCACAGGGATCTGACCCAGCAACTTCTGAAAGCAGTGGAAATGTGCTGCAGCGCTGTTCTGAGATGCTCCCTTCATTTCCAACAGAACTGCTACTCCAGCAACTGAAAGTTCTTATACGTTGGTTAATGGCTTATATGTTGATATTAATGGTGGGAAAGTGTGTGCTAATTTGATGTATATAAGAACGAGCAGCATTTTTTGCAATAGATTTGTCTTTGTCTTTTTATATTCTGAAGAAAACAACAATGAATGTCTTAATACAGCATAATAGTAGCATCTCTACATGAGGTTGTAGCTGCTGCTAAATGCTATCAGCGTGTGATTGGGCAACAGTATATTTATGGAGTGGATTGATGCCAGGATCTTAGTGTCCATGAAAAGACAAATTTGAAGGAAGTCCCAGCTTTCTTAGTTCCAGCAAACAAAAAAATGGCTGTACACAAAGTTCAGTGTTCTGTCTCTGACCGTAGTGGAAGAATATAAGACCAAGGCAGGCCTGTGGTGCTCCTCAGACTGATTTCTGAACCTCCAATGACCTGAAGCCCAGGACCTTCCAGCAAGAGGACTTAGCTTAATGTTTAACCGGACTTTACAGATACTTCTTCTACATTCATATTTTTCAGTTCATACCTAACTCAGAAATTTGTGGATAAACCACATTTTGTGGTTAATTTTGTGGTTAACCCAACGTGCCAAGTTTTCCTTATGAAGAGTCGTTCCAGGATGATATATTTGCAGGGATTAGAACTGGGTAGACTGTGAGTTGAAATCAGAAATTTGAGTATTTATTTGAATTTGTGCATGACAATGTCTTCCAGCGGGTGACTGTAGGAGCCAAAGTAAGTATTTGTAGTTCCTGTCCTTAGTTCAGTGCTCGACTGCTAGAGCAAGATTCTTCAACCAGCATGGACCAGTTTTTCATATGAAGCTGGCAAACTTTCATTCCCTATGCAAAATCATGTTTTCCTTTTCACTGGAATCTTAATATTGTGATAGAAGAACTTCAGTTCAGGCATGTGTGTTTTTCTTTTAAAAGTCCATCACATTGTTACCCTGTTGTAAAAGCTAAAATTGAATATACAAACGTGATTTGTTTTCTCTTTCTCCAGAACCTCCAACTTGTTCCCCAGACCAGTTTACCTGTGCGACTGGAGAGATTGACTGTATCCCAATGGCATGGCGATGTGATGGATTTCCAGAGTGTGATGACCAGAGTGATGAAGATAGTTGCCCTATATGCTCTGCGTCCCAGTTCCAGTGTGAGAAAGGACAGTGTATCGATGCACACTTGCGGTGTAATGGAGAAATTGACTGCCAAGATAAATCTGATGAAGCAGATTGTGATAGTAAGATTGATTTTCCTGAACTCGTGCTCTTAACATAAGCATCCATTTGGGATTCTAAGTGTTCTTGATATGTCTATATAGGATTTTTAGTTATATAGGATTTTTAGTTTCAGATGGTGAAAAGAGCCTTAACCGTAAGTCTAACTAAGCTATCCACTGTTTTTCTTTCCCTCTTTCTTATTCTGTTGCTGAAATTAAACTTCTCTGTAGCTACGTAAATTCCTGACCATGTAACTATAGGTGTGTGGGAGGTTGGGGGGAGAGTATCTTTAATACATATCCTGAATGAAAACAGGATAGAAACTGGCTTTTTTTTCCTGTCTAATTATCATTTTGGCTTGCGCTGTTTCCTAGGTGTCCACTTCACCTTTGAACAGTGGTCGCAGCAGGGTGCCACAGGACACCTTAATCCTGTAGCTGAATTGGCTGTTCTGAGAGTTTTTAATGCTGGAAATACCTTTCTATGAGAAATCTGTGGAATGACATCTAAGGAGCTCTTTCTGCTGCAGCTGCTTTGCATACAGTCAGCCGTAGGATCTGGGTCCAAGAAAGAAGCATGGATGGGTGCATTTGCATCATCCTTTAGTTGACGGGAAACCTCGCATATTCTGTATCTAGTGTCAAGGCATAGCTGCAGCAGACACTTTACTCTGAGCTGACACCACGGCTTCTTATTGCTGTACAAGTTTTCAGGAGTCTATTCAGTAGTGTGGCTCTTGGCCTATGAAGCCTCGGGAGCCTTGGCTTTACCCACTCAGTGGCTAACGATTGCCACGCGGCAAGCAGGATAGGCTTTGTGAGCATTTCAGTGAGTAACTCTGTGCATTTGCAATGTCTTCTCTGTAACTCTGAGCCCGGATACCAGAACACCAGTGCCGCCTTTGCAGAGAAGAGGAGGATCAGCCATGTCCAAGTTCCTGTCTTTCTTGAGGGAGGTGATGCTTACTAATTGTACTGCTTCATCAAGAGGCCCTGCTTTGTCCAGCATGAAGCCCCTATGCAGTGTAACAGTGCCATTACCCACATACAGAGTCAAAGTGGAATGTGCATGGGGTCATCTCGCTGGGAAATGGTGGGCATTGCTAAGCAAACTTTGTGCCAGTGTTCCTGGCATCATATGGACTGTAGGTGCCTGCCTTGCCCTGCACTGCCTCTTTGAGGGCACAGATGAGCATTACCATCTGGTCTAGAACAGTCAGACACGTATCTTCAGTTGTTGAATGCTCACTGGTTGTACACCCAGTTCTCTGCAAGCACTTGAGCCACCCAAGTCTAAACTTTTGTCCAGGGTGCTGTCTGACACTTCCCTAGAAGGGCTATGGATACTCAGTGTCCAGGATTAGACTGGGGGAGATGTGGTGAACATGGACTCTGGAGTCCTCAGGAGTCTTTACAGGCCAAAGCCAGAGTGGGTTCCTAAGAAAATTAAAATCCATAGGCCTTTCTTGTCCTTAGCATATGTCAGCATAAAACCCATTGTGTTTGGGGAAAGGAACATAGCATATGGTACATTCTTGTTCTTGATATGAAGTTTATTCAGGTAGTGAGGCTAACTGGCCTTAACAGAACTTTGCTACCATACGTCATGCATCAGAGGAATTACCTTCTGGTCAGAGCAGTGATAATCACTGCCTTCCCGTAGGTCTAAGTTCAATGCCTTGACTCTCTCAGAAGCCACTTCTCCTATTCCCTGGTTTCCCAAGGCATGTTTGTGGAGAGTTGCATCGGAAACATTGGCACAAGGGTTGCAGACTATGATTGGAAGTGGCCAAAGAAGTGTCCCTGAATATGTTCATGGTTCTTGTCCCACATCTTCAAGACTCTGCCTTTCATATTCTTGAATCTATTATGGTGCTACTAGCTAGTCCCCTCTTACGCAGAGGAAGTCAAAAAGTTAACAGTCTTTTGATACTGCAACTGGATTACCATGCCACTGAAGAAACTTGATTACCTGTGCAACATAGGTTCAGTGCTCCAGGTTGTCTGTTGCTGGATCAAGAAGAAACCACAAGTTCAACAAAGCAGGACAGCAACAGAAAATACAGCATGTTTCTGGGGAAAATGCTATAATAGGAAAAGGCTGTTAAGACAGAAGACATGATAGAAGACAGAGGAGAAGGAGAGAGTTGGAAGAATAAGTAGAGGGCTGGTAGTCACTGGCGACTAGGAAGGTGCACATGGAACTTGGCCCTTCTCACCTAAGTGGTGTGGTGGGAGCTCTAGATAATTTCAGAACCTTCTGTCAGCATGTGCATGTTTTGTATGCACTGTAAGATCTTGTGGAGCTGCATCCAGCTTACTGGGGACATAACAGTCCAAATCAGGAGCATGTCAAGCTTCTAGCTAAGTTTTGTTCTCCGTAGATAATTTAGTTCTCTTACATGAGAACTACTCTGCAAAATGGACCATGGCAAAGTGAGTATGGCTATTCAGGCGATCCACGTCAAACCACCACCACTGCTGTGATCAGAAACATGAATGTGGATCTTCTCCTCCAGAAGAAAAGAGCCTTTCTTCTTCTTGCATTAAATAACCTGTGAACCTTCCAGGACTGCTGGTTACTATCCCTTGTAAGACAGTCATTCTTTTTATATGCTTTGACTTGACAGAGATTCCAGAGTTAATTAACAAGTCATTTTTACTGAAACAAAGGCTTCTACAAATAGATAACAAATTTACCAGTTATTTAGCAAGGTTATATTATACAGAACTACATAACATACTGCAGACTATATAAGATTTCATAATATGCTGAGTTACTGCATTTTGTTAACCTGTCAGGTGATAAGCTACACTTTGTTAGTTATTGTAAGAGATTCTTGCTTAATTTGATCCCAGTTTTGGCCCAACAGGACTGATTTGGCAAAGGATGGGGAGTTACTGGGATCACAGTTTTCTTTTAGCCCCACTGAGTAGGATGTATAACAACAAGAAGGAAGAATCAAGAGATACGCAGACTTGCATTTTACCCACAGCAGCGAAGCAGATGTTCTGGTGCCTACCTGGTCGTAATACAGAATACACTGAGGCGTCCTCACTTTTTGTTTTCTTAAGATGCTCAAATGCTCCCATGCCAGTAGTACTTAATCTTTTCTTTCTTTCTGTGCAGCAATTTGTCTACCCAATCAGTTCCGATGTGCAAGCGGCCAGTGCATCCTCCTGAAGCAACAGTGTGACTCCTTTCCAGATTGCATCGATGGTTCTGATGAGCTTATGTGTGGTGAGATGTCATTCCTTGAGATTCAAGTGCTGTCTGTGTTCAGGCATAATGTCCTATGCAGAGCCACAGTCTTTGCATTGTAATAATCTTTCAGGGTAGCCCAGTGAATCTTGGCAAAATACTCTCATAGCTGTATGAGATGTATGTGTGCAATATGTATGCAATAAAGTATGTAGTGCTATTATTGCAGGAACTGCAACACAGCATTACTTAAGATGGTCTGAAATCCCAGTGTTACTTCAAGCTAGGTATAAAATGCTGTATGGGATACAATGCTGCCTTGTTTCGATGGGCCTTGAGATCTATACCCAGGGGACCCGATTCTACTATGCTCAGCACCTTGGGACTTGCAGAGCTGCTGCTAAGCTTAGGGTGGCTTTTAAAAGTGCACAGCCCAATTCACTGCAATTACATGGTCAAGCTGCAGGCTAATTATGTGGAGGAACTAGCACGCAGTGAGCAAATGTCCACAAGAGACCACATGGAAAGAATATAAAGAGAGAGACCTTGATTTTTCTGGCCAAAATGTTACTTTAAGCTGCCATTCACGTGGCAGTGGGTTTGTGCAAGTTACAGGCATGCTGATGGCCGTTGCTGTATTAGTCCTTAGCCGGGTCTGTTACTTTGCAGTCTGAAGTGGACAGTAAAATTCACTTAACTTGTGCTCTGCTTGCAGTTTCCCTAGAAAGAATATAAAGAGAGAGACCTTGATTTTTCTGGCCAAAATGTTACTTTAAGCTGCCATTCACGTGGCAGTGGGTTTGTGCAAGTTACAGGCATGCTGATGGCCGTTGCTGTATTAGTCCTTAGCCGGGTCTGTTACTTTGCAGTCTGAAGTGGACAGTAAAATTCACTTAACTTGTGCTCTGCTTGCAGTTTCCCTATTTTTGCACCATCAGGCTGACTAGTGCATGAAGTTTTCAGGCAATGGGGCAGATAAAGAGAGCATTTAGTAGCTCACAAGTTCAGCAAAACAGGTGGAACATAGGATTTTAGAAAAAGGCAAATAGATGTGCTGACCTATTGGTAATTCATTCTGAACACACACCTTGTGTTGGGTGGTTCTGCTTAATAAGGTTGCCTACAGGACCTTGGCTAATTGCAAGGTTTTTAATATCTTGGAGCCTTGTCAGGTTTTGAAGCATCAGTTGTCAGAAGCTGTGCTACTGCTGTCTGTGATGGTTAACCTTGTCTCTTCCTTCTATCCTCATGGTGGGTACAGCAAGGAAAAGTGTATTTCAGAAGCAAAAGTAGTGAAGGGAGCCCAGGTGGTGAATAGAAGGAAAGGCTAAAAGAGTGGTGACAAAAACTCTTTAGTCCTCCTGTTGGAAATCTCGGGCTGAACATGCATCTCATGCTTTTCCCACATCTTCCATGTATCTCTCAGCTTTCACCCCTTTCCCTCACTTCTCTGGATAATGTAAAGCCACTTCTTCCTCTTCATTTTTTCCAGTTTATTTTCTTTGTGCACATGACAAACCCTTGTGCTGCCAAGTTAATGCAGCTGTTTCCTGTTTGCACTTAGGGTCCAGTCCTGCAATTAGGTCTTCACTGATTTAAATGTGTCTTTATGTAGACATAAGACTGTCTCCTCTGGAGTCTCTTTGTGGAACAGAGTGTTCTGTGGTTTCTTGCTTGACTGAGGGAAGGAACTCAGGCAGGGAATAAGAATGATTGCTACTTTCTAGATAAGGATCTTGCATTCGAAAGAAGCTAGATTTAACCAAAATGAGAATTGTGTGTTTTAAATGAATTAATTTGGGAACATGTTTTAGTTTTGGCTTTGCTTTTCTCTGCTGTCATATCTGATCTAATCCGACTATTTGAAAGTTAGGGACTTAGCTGGCATAAAAGCTGTCATGCACTAATAAGTGTGAAGACTGTGAAAGAGAAATGAATTCTTGCTGCTGAGCTGTTAAAGAGTTTATCAGTGGAACTTTGTATTTCCTTTATCTTCCTTCTCAAATTTCAGTTGTTTTTCCACTGAAGGGAATGAAACCAGAACCACTGGAGAAAAATTTTATGAAGCAAAGGCTTGAATCTTACACGAACCATTGAAATTCTTACAGCTTCATTAAGGGAGGAAGGGGTCTATAGTTTGATCTGAACATGTAAAATTGATAGGCTTTGGACAAGTTTATTTTGATTTTTTTTCACTTTGTGAATATAAATACATATTTGTTTATGTAAAAAAGAGTTATACATGTTGTGTGAATCACATGGAAAAACTGGGTTTCACTGAAGGATGTCACATATATGAAAAACATAGAGGTGTCAGGTTTATTTAGCAATAATTTTGAATGTGTTACCCATAATCAGGGAAGATGCAAAACATAGCTCATCTCAAATATTGCAGCACTTTTTATGCTTTAACACTGGGCTGTATAGGGAACGAAGAAATAAAAAGAAGAAGGTATTTGAGATATTTTGGATTTTGTTTTCCTTCCAATTTTTAAGGTTTATTTTAGAAAGCAAGGCGTATTTTAGTAAGGCAAACAATACTATTTGAAGGCCTGTATTAGCAAGGAAGACATCCACTGCTGAATACGTATGGCAGCATCCTTACTGGAAAAACCTTTTAATTATTTAATGTTACTGCTAGCCCAATTGGTTTTTGAGAGAGCAGATTCCTCTCTGATTAAGGACTTCATGTTTAAAAGTGTCCTATATCCTTAATCTGTAGACTTTGTGGGGGGAAGAAAAGGAAACTTCCTAGACTGTTCTTAACAAGATGCTAAGTAATCCTGTTCTGAGATGAATTGCTAGACACAAAGGAGAGTACCTTGCTAATATTGCTTGATGTACATGGAGGGGAGGAAGAAGCATGAAGTCCTGCACATCGTATCAGAATATGTGGAATTACAGATGCCCCAGTTTGATGCAGATACTTTCAAAGACATTGTAGGAATGACTGAGCTGACATATTTGCTTCAACAAGCTCCAGGACAGCAACATATATATTGCCCCATGTTTAACGACCTTCTTTATGTTTTTCTCCTCTCTTTCCAGAAAAAACAAAGCCATCCTCAGATGAATCGCAGCCACACAGTAGTGCCATTGGTCCTGTCATTGGTATAATACTGTCACTTTTTGTCATGGGAGGAATGTACTTTGTTTGCCAGCGAGTGGTGTGTCAGCGCTATGCTGGGCCCAATAGTCCTTTTCCACATGAGTATGTCAGTGGCACCCCTCATGTCCCTCTTAATTTTATTGCTCCAGGAAGTTCTCAACATGGCACTTTTACTGGTAAGTTTTGATATAAAACTGTCATTGGGATCAGATATGCAAAAGCACATTTCAGTTGGCATCTTGCCATATTTTCAAAAGCAATTTTCCTGCTAAATTGCATCTGCACAGGTGTTTATCTTTTTGATAGAAAACTAACTGTATTTTGCCAGAGAAAACATGCTCTTTAAATAGTTCATTCTGGTTTATGTAATAAAGCCTGGCCTTTGCCTACTACTTCCTACCTAAGGCCTGCAAAATACTGTGAAGAGAAGTGAACCATGTGCAATGTTGGGAACAGGAACATGTGTGCCATTTGGCATTCTAGTGAAAGTTCTGTTGAGTTATTCTTTGTGTCTGTCTTGTCCATCAAAGTTCTTCACACACGTTGTCCTGTTTGCCCAATATCGATAAGTTATTCCATAGTGGAAAGAAGCAGAGGAAAGAAGCGAAGCAGCTTACTTTACTGTAATACAGAAAAGCAGGGGATAAACTTCCCAAAGTAACAGCAGCAGATGTGGGAGAACACAGGCGGCCTGCGTGTGGCTTCATAGCCTGGCTACTCATTGCCTGAAGCGTAATGAAAACATGCGCTTTGGTTTAGCCCATCTCGGGGACAGCTTTCCTGTTTGCTTTTGGACAAAGCATTTTTCTCTGTGTCTCAGTCCTTCATCTGTAAGACAGCAAAGCTTCTCTACCTCACAAAGGACTCAAGCCATCCATTTGGAGATGTGTGCGCAGCTGTGATGCTGAGACTGAAGGAAGACTAGAAGTGTACATACAAGCTTAGGATATTCGGCTAATAAATAAGAACCCAGAAACCTCAAATAGACATCAAAGTAAACACTTAAATGATGTACCTCAGATTATTTTGCAAAGTAAAACATACTTTTCATGGAGGAAATAGCAAAGTCTTAACTATAGAGCCTTGAGAAGAAAGAATATATCTTCATAGTGTTCAGGAAGCTGGAAAGTAAATGTTCATCTGTAAAGCTACCAGACAGGGTCACAATACAAGAAATCCATACTTAAGAGTGCTTGGAGTCTGCTTTTCATGTCAGCTGAAATCAGATGGAGGATAAACTTAAAGACAAATGAAAAGATGTGGCACTTCTTCATATGAAACAACTTTCTGAGATGTGCTAATTGTTGTTTTCTTCTAGCCATGGCTTTGAAGATAGCCAGATGTAACTTAGGTTTAGCCTTTCTCGCACTTTAATGCCTGTGGTCAGCTGTTCCTGCTTAAAGTATGTTTGTATGGTTATCAGAAGGTTTTTGTGGTAGAAAATAAAATCTAAGGATGAAATCACTGCAAGTGAAATCTTTGCAGCAGTGTTCTAATTTGGACTTCACACTAAAGCTTTTTTAATTAAAGCAGGTAATAGAGGTTTTTGTTTGTACCTCTGTAGGTGTTAACCAAGCTGTCATTCTGATTCTCATTTGTATTTCTTGTGTTTTTCTAATCCATATTGCTGTGGCAAGTTACAGCAGCTGAAAATATTACCATTGTTGTTCACTCTAAAGAAAAGACATAGGTTCCTAATGCCATGACATTCCCAAAGAAGTTAGGGATGAATGCTGATCACAGATAGAGCCACTCTGCTTGTAATAAATATTTCCTGCACCTGAAACTTTTCTGAAACCTTCCCAAACTAAACTCTTTCATTAGCACTGAGTAGTCTGACAGGAAGAAGCTGAAAATGTATGGTCTGATTTAAGTGTGTATTGCAGCAAAACTGACTGGAGAACGTTGTCTTCCCTCTGCTTGTCACCCAGGATTCCTTCTTTGTGCCTCTGCTGGTTTCAGCTTAAGCAGTGATTTTTATTTTTATTAATAAAAATAATGAATTTTTTTGCTCTTGTTCATGTCCTTGAAATTAACTCTGGATGGAAATGAAAACTTCGTAGCTCTCGAGCTTGTTTTTCTTGCGCAATGTATCATGGTTTTTTGCAAACACCTGAGTTTAGTTGGAAAATTTCTTAGTTAACAATCTGTGTGAAAAATGTGCATCAACTGTTCTGGAGGTTCCTTTCTTAGCTGAGTGTTGAGACTAGGTTGTGTTCGGTGCTGCAGTGAGACATTAAGTGGTGTGGGGGCGAGATGTTGTCTTTACAAACTATGTTGTTCCTTGTTTTTACATAGAACACTGTTCCCGAAGTGACACCCAGTAGCGTTGCATGCGTTTGCCAAGCTGTGGGCTTGTTTTCTGTGCCATGTTGGTAGATAAAATTGCCGTTTACCTAACCTCGTTTTCCTCTCTGTCTCCCTGCAGGCATCTCTTGTGGAAAGTCCATGATTAGCTCCATGAGTCTCATGGGAGGAAGCAGTGGTGCCCCCTTATACGACAGAAACCATGTCACTGGAGCCTCTTCAAGTAGCTCATCCAGCACTAAAGCCACTTTCTACCCACAGGTATGCCTTGAAAGGATTCCTGTAAGTTAGGTATCTCCCACTCCTAAAGATGAAAATTTGTGCTACTAAAGAGAATAGCGGTTGTTCTAAGGTATTACTGTTTATGATCTACAGGCCCAGCCTGACACCCACTGGCTTTCACAACAGGGCTTTGTTGTAGTCCATGAGGATTACATAATGCTATACGATGTCTAAAATGTTTTGCTACTGGAGTGGTACTCAGCTGGGTTGTTCCTGGGCACTTCCCTTCTTATGTCTTGACTCCCTTGGAGATGCCAAGGATGTCCTTCGTTCTTTGTAAACTCTGACATCAGTGGCCCAGTGACATTTTGCACTGTTTAATGCTGCAGGGACACATGGAAGAAAAAGACAAACAAGACACAACAGGAGTGGAATGCAGATGCATAAGAAATAAGCTTGGCTTGCTGTTCAGATAGTGTTGGTTGCTGATTGAGAAAACCAAGTGTGTGTGCTGGGAGAAAACACTTGTACCAGCAGGGGTTACTTTGCTTGTGTTTTTTCAGTTGTAACTTAGCTCCATTTCTGTCTTATAGCTGATGGAAGTGAAAGAATTTTAGTCCCCATTTCAGAGTTTCATGAATTCAAAGCCATGAATAGGAGTTATTCTTTAAGAACATGTAGGAGGGACATACGTTCTTTTTGCCAGCATTTTGTTATGTAAGATTTGTCCTTCCAAGCAATACATGCTTTCAGTCTTCTGTCCACACAAGCTCGCAGTCACAGAGTCAATCTGCTAGCTATTGCGGAGTATTTAATCAGGAGCCCATGCACTTTGTGGGCATTCCTCCCCTTTAAGAAGGGCAAGAATGGAAAAAAGAGGCTTGTGAGCTTATCTACTGATAAAGTAAAATCGTTACTTATTTCATGCATTACCTTCTCGATGAAGCCATGAAGCAGCTAGTCGCAGCTAGCAGATGTTTGCAGCTCAGCAGCCCTCCTAATTTAGCTTGTCTTGTGCTTCCCCAGTGTCTCAGTAACACGCTGAACAACTTCATGCTAGTACTGGGTTGAGGTGTCAGTGCCACACTAAAAAGGATGAACAGAAAAACTTAGCTGAATTTATATAAAAATACTTAAATGTATCTTGAAAGAGGAAAGGATGGTTTTAAACTGACTGAGGGAGATTGAGATTAGACATTAGGAAGAAGCTCTTCCCTGGGAGGGTGCTGAGGCGCTGGCACAGGGTGCCCAGAGAAGCTGTGGCTGCCCCATCCCTGGCAGTGTTCAAGGCCAGGTTGGACACAGGGGCTTGGAGCAACCTGCTCGAGTGGAAGGTGTCCCTGCCTGTGGCAGTGGCTCTAAAGTCCCTTCCAGCCCAAACCATTCTATGGCCTTATGATTAATAGTGATGTGCTCAACTCGACAGCCAGGAATCATTTTGCTCAACACTGCACAATGAAGACCAGAACAATGATCTCCACTCCAGTGAGTTTACAGTAACTATAGTGAGAGAAGAGCAGGGGCAGAGGAAGGATGCTATCATGGTCACTGTGGCAGGCCATGGCTTGGCAGAATGCCCGGGACAGGCTGTGTACAAGCTACTTAAGTCAATAGCAAGGCCCTACCATCAGTAGCAATGCTGTAATTTTCCACATTGGAAGGGATGAAGTACTTTCCTTTTTTTTAGGCCAATATCCTGCTGGTCATGTCAGAGGTTTTGCTTCCTGCTATGTGAAGAATCCTTGAGGATTCTGAAGTGTAACGAACTGTTTTCCTGGTGTGAGGGTTACCAGCAGCTGTGTGTATATGCACACACAGGCTAGGGCAGGCTGTAACTATTTCTTAGCACTTAGGCTCTTTGCGTTGTGAACTGTGCCAAAATCATGTGTTTACAGAACCACAGTAAAAAAGAAGTATTCAGGCAAGGACGGGGTTGTATGAGTTACGGGAGAGGAAGTTGGCCTCCTGATCCTGCCACTAACCTGGGTGTTAGTTTACGGGCTGGGTGTGGAACAGACTTTGTTTCCCTGAGTATGGTATCAGTCCTCATGTCCAAGGAAGTACTCTGAGATTCAGCAAAACTATGTCTCATTTCCAGTTTTACCACAGCCTTCCAGTGTCATAATGGATGTGGCAAGGAAGAAAATGCTCTGTACTCTGAGAACTTTGAAGGCCTGAAGTGTACCTGAGCCCAGAGTAAAGTCTCATAATGAACTTCCATGCATTCATCCACCCCAGCACCAAGGAGAGGAAAATAAAAGAAGGATGAGTGACAGGGTGAAGGCTTAAAAAGTATTTTCAAAAGAAGTAGTTGTATAATTAACCCAAACTTTTGCACTTTTTCCTATTTTTCCTAGATCTTGAACCCACCTCCTTCCCCCGCTACGGATCGCTCCCTGTATAATGCAGAGATGTTTTATTCTTCAAACATTCCTTCAACCACAAGATCTTACAGGTACAGCTCATATAAAAAGTTCTGATAAATCTTCCATTGATCTGTCCTTTAGTTTTGGATCTTAAGCAGACTTTACCTTGTTAAGAAACCCCAACTTTCCTTCTCTTAAGAAATGACCATTTAAATGAAGGTTATGCCAATTTTGAGTTTAAACATTGGCTTTGTGTTTATGTTTTGACATGACAGGGTTTAGTGCCTTTCAATGCAGTGTTGCTGAGTAATAATGCAATGTGTGTAGGTTGTATTGCTGTGCAAGTCACCTACCGTCCTGCATAGAGAAGATTGGTGGTTCTGTTCAGTTCCTCAAGCTCCTCATAGAACTCTTTGATGTGTCACCCTGTTTGTTAGTGACTGAGCTAAATGGTCCTGGTGGTCTCCTCTGGCTGGTCAGGGGCTGGAAGGATGCCCTGCTGCCAAAGGGTAGCTGTAGTTGTGCCAATCAGATTTAACGCAGTTCAGGTACTCCTTGCTGGTTTCCTATGAAAACATGAATTAAGGTTCACAGTGAGCATTCATGAGCAGGCATCCTCACTGAGGACACAGAGCTACTCATTTCCAATCTCTCTCGTTCTTTTTTTCTTTCTTCCCTAGATTGCAACTAATGCACGTGGGGTTTTGTTTGTTTTCTTTTCTTCCCGCAGGCCATACATTATACGAGGGATAGCTCCACCCACAACCCCATGCAGCACAGATGTTTGTGACAGTGACTATACTACTAGTCGATGGAAGGCCAACAAATACTATATAGATCTAAATTCAGACTCAGACCCTTATCCCCCACCACCCACACCTCGCAGTCAGTACATGTCAGCAGAAGAAAGTTGCCCTCCGTCTCCTGCCACGGAACGAAGCTATTTTCACCTCTACCCCCCTCCACCTTCTCCTTGTACAGACTCCTCATGACCTCAACAGAAGGAACTCTTCCTGTAAATATTTTAAGATATGAACAGATTTAAAATATATATTTTATGATTTAAAAATAAATGGGGGGGGAGGGGGATTTTAAAAAAAGAAATGTGAATAAAAATGGGTGGGAGGGATGGGGCTGTGAAAAATTGTACAGAGGAAGAATATTTATAAAATTGATTTTTTTAACTTAATTTCCATTCTTTTGTGCCATATTTGCCTTCTTGAAGTCATGAAAATTACTCAATCTCCAAAGGATTTGGGGAGGGAACGTTGAGGCTTTTTGCATTTTTAAGTCACCTTTTTACATGCAAAGTGTATGTCATTCTTTTTCTTCATGTGAGACAAGAAAGCAAAGTAGCCTCTGGAAACGGCTAAAGAATGATGTAAGTTTATTCGCAGAGAAGAAGATGCTTAAATAAAATGGTCAGTATCTCACCCCTTCCCACCACTGGGAGGAGACATGCAATGGTCACAGCCATTAGATGTGCCTGTTTGCACATGAGCTGAGTGCTTCCCAGCAGACTTCACGTGCTGAGACCCGGATTTCAAACCTCCCTCTCCATTTGCTTAGGATTGAACTGGAAGAACACTTCTTTCGGCCAAACCTTAGAGCTTAACTAAGCCCACGGGCTTGATGCCCTGCCTCGTGTCAGTGCCACTCTGCACATGGCTAGTTCTGGAAGTGGTTCAAGCTAAAAACGATAACCAGCCTTAAAAAGCTTGGTTTAGCACCACCACTCGAGTGGGTGAATGGTAGCAGAAGCAGCTGTATTGACCTGTGGGTTAGAGCAAGGGGCAAGTAAAGTGGTATTTAAGCCGAGAGAAATGTCTGAACAAAGTGCAGATTTGGTCAGCCTCACTGTTTGAATTGCGATGAAACCAAATTCCTTCATCCTTCCTTTGATGATGATCTGGGAAGAGGCTGTAATAGTCAGCTGCTTCTCAAAATACGGGGCTAGTTCTCCTTTTCCCAAAAGTTCAGTAATTCCCTGGGACAGGTCTCTGAGATGTTCACTTCTGTTGACTTGATCAGGGAATCACTTCAGTTCTAATGTTCCATGTTACGAAGTGGAACGATACGGTCACTTGCGTTCATTTAAATGGGGAAAGTTGGTTTCTCATCGGTGTTCGTAGAAAATGCCATCTGCACAGCTCAAAACAAACCCCTCTGACATGGAAACAGTTACAGCTCATAAAAATTAGCCACACAATTCGTTCAGTTTTAGGAATAGAAAAAGCATGGCGGGGGGGTGCAGGGGAAGGAGAGGAGGCAAACACTTCTTTCTAATTGATTGGAAATAAAACTATTAAACTCTCATACAAATTGCTGTAACCTAAGGACATCACGGTCAGCAAAGTGCTCATATTCCCAACTCCTGCCAAAAACCACTTTGGGAATGGCAGCTCGGATCAGTCCCTTTCAAAACACGGAAGGTAAATTTTTGCTCTGCTTGTCCTTTTGCTGTGACAGGAGGGATTGGGTGTTTTATGGCACTTCGTATATTCAGCTCTGGTGCTAATAATGTGAGTGCCTGCTTGGGACATCTGAGGGAAGTTCGGAATATGCAGACTCACAGCTGTTTCTGCAGCTGCTGAATAATAAGTGTTGGCCCTTGACAGCCCTAATATTGTTGGCAACGATGTGAATGTTTTTTCTTGTTTGAACTTACACTGTATTTGGGTTTGGTCTTTTTAGCAAGTCACTTGAGAGCACATGAGAGGAACGGTGCAACGCCAGGACAGAGGTCTTCATGGTAGTGGTGGAGGGGCTGGGACCACGGTGTTCTGATCCGGTTTGTGTTTTCAGATTTATCAGTCCAGAGCTGTTCTTTCTGTCTGCATTGTTCGAGGACAGGACTTGTGCTGCCACTGGTGTGTTACTAAAAGTAGCTTTTACTACCTTCCTGTCTAAATTTTCACTTGAGACATTGAGCACAAAGAAGGTGCCCACCATTTTTCATGGAGAAAAATACAGAGTTGGGGATTACAGCTTTGCACTTTAAGAACGTGTTCTTCCTCCATCTCCTATCAGCATCAGTAATTCTATAGCATACCAAGATGGACAAGGCCACAGTTTGTTGCTCTTAGCAGATCTCTGAACAAGTGTTAATGATGTGGTGAAACAAAGCAATTCTCACATGATCATGAACTAAATTAGGATAGATCCACAGGATACTTTATGTACTACATCGATCATATCAAAGTACTTGTTCTGCATTGCAGCAGTTGGTAGACCAGTTTCATATCATATGTAATTTTTTGCATGATAATTATTCACCATTTATAATTGATTCGTTAGCTTAGTTGTTTCATGTTACAGCTCTAGCTCAGAGACGTACCACATTCATTATCCTGTATTCCGGTGATGACACTGGATGCAAAACTACATTGGTTCGGGTTGGTTTTTTGGGGGTTTGTTTGTTTTCCATTAAACCACTGATCTTTTTAAAAAGCCACAGCTATAACAATCCCAACCACTTCATCCGAAGACTTGTATCAGAAAACTTGTATCTAAACTTTGGAGTTGAGTGAAGAAAATAGCATTCATGCTGAGAGCTAAACTGCCTTAAGAGTCAAATTCTTTTGGGGCTTAGATACTCAGAAGGAAGGAAGAACTTACTGAATGGGGTAAAATAGGCACAAACATTTTGATTTCAGTTGAGCATTCTTAGCCTCTTGCTGATGTTTGCTAAGAAATGGCATTATGGTGAGGTTTAGGCATAGTTTTAACAGGTCAAAAGTTTTCCATGAGAAAGCTGCCTGAAATAAAGAAGAGTTCTCCCCTGAGAACGTGCAGGGGGTGCCTGTGACTGGAGGACCCGTGTGGGTTTGTGAGTACTTGAATCAGTGTTTTCAGCCACTGTTTTCCAAGCCCAGTGTGACTGCGTATTAGCCCTTGGAGCTGCTCAGGGTGTAACGTGGACTGTGCCCGGAGCACAGCCAGTAGCAGGTGAACAGTACGGTTGATTCCGTGTTAGGTTTAAAGCAGAGATGCCCTAGCAGGGAGCAGTTTACCTGCCTTCCAGTGCAGTTGTGAAAGCAGCTACCGGGGTCATCTTCTCTTCTGCAGAATTTATCCTGTCTGCAGGCGCTGGGAGGTGCACGGGCAAGTCGTGAGCTTCAGCAGTGAAGTGTACTTCCCTTGCAAGCGGAAGTTTTGGGTAAGTTATAGCTTGACTTCACTTCAGTTAGACTGATCAGCAGCCACCGCTCCCTGACCTTTGAAATGGAGCTAATTAATCGGTTTCTTATTGCTGGATGATTTTGAGGAACTTCATTAGCACTTCCCAGGCTGTCTTACTGGTTAGGTTTTCTTACGGCTGGAGAGATGGCTGACGAGCACTTCGGCTAAGGTAACGCTAAATCCGTATCTGTGACCAATGTTTTCTTCAGGATAGTGTTACAAAAAACATTCCAAGTCTAAAAATGGGACTGTGCCAGAACCATATTCTGAAGAGGAAGGTTGAAATAAGTTTCTCCTTTTGGAATAGTGAGTTTGATTTTCAGCAAGAAACGTTGATCTCTCTGGTTTGCAAAAAGTGCGAGCACTTCCCTGACAGTTCTGGTTCTTTTCAGAGTAACAACCAAAAGGTCTCTTCCCTCAACACGTGTTCTACACACCTAGGATGGGTCTTCTGGGAATATCCAGGCCCATTTATCCCAGATCTGTTTTCTGTCTGATATCTAGAAGATCATATATAGGACCCATTGAGTTCTCCCCATTTTTATGCCAACTGGTGCCTCTTCAATTCTGGGGTTTGAAATTCTGAAGCTCTGTGTTACAGCGAAGCAAAAGGATTTGGAAGCGGGAGCACTCGGTAAGGGCTGGTCACACAGGGCTGACGTGACAGTCACAGGAACGTTCCTCCATTGCCTGAGGGGTCCCATCCCTTTCCTAGGGAGAGCTGTCGTGGTACCCCTCATCAGAGCCTCTGTGTTGCTTTACAGCTGTGGTCGGTCGGACGACAGAACTCGTGTCCCCTGTTTGCTTCGAGCACTTTCGGAGGCAGATCTTTTCTGATGTCAGTCGTTTTGTTGGAGTGTATGTTGAGCCAGCCCAAGTGAGTTAGCTGTGCTTATAGTTGTGCTACAGTGATAGCCATCAATGTCAGGAAACGAAAACAGAAAGCAAGCATGTTCCCAGTAACTAATAACACACCAGAGTGTCTCGCACAGACCCCTGAACTAGAAGTAAGGTATTTGCTGTTACAGTGCTGAAGGGCATTTCATTAATGTCCGTGTTTGGACAGAGCCTTAGACAAGCCCCAGGCAACGGTAGTTGTTTACAGATCAGTTATTCAGTTGTTTCTATGTTTTATTATGAGTCCATTATGAATTATGAGTGCAGTCCGTGCCATCATTCTGGCTTGTCTGTAGAAGATTCAGGGCAAGCTGAATCCTAAATGCTGAGAAGCGTCTGCTGGTTCTGCAGCTGTTCCCTTAGGAATTGCAATCTTTTCTGCTCAGTATTAAATGCAAAAGTCCCTTTCTTCAGCTACTCTAAGTTCAGCTAAACAGCTTAAGGTATTTACCACAGGTTAAAAGAAATAGTAATATACATAGGTATTTTCCACACTGGGGTCTTCTAGCTCTCCTTCCTGAGAACACGTACTCTGGTTTCTGTAAAGGGTATTTTTCTTTCATTTGTGTAGTTTGAGGTTGGCAAACTCTGCTGTGGGCCTTTTGACAGAAGGTTGTACTTCCCTGGAGGGAAAAATAGAAAGGAAAAATCAGTTTTAAATCATAGAATCACAGACTGGTTTGGGTTGGAAAGGATCTCAAGCTCATCTAGTTCCAACCCCCCTGCCACAGGCAGGGACACCTTCCACTAGACCATGTTGCCCAAGGCCCTGTCCATCCTGGCCTTGATCAGTGTTAAGCCTGCTGATAGGAATGATGGAAACCAGTCTGATACAAGTGGCTTCTGCATTCCACTACAGAATCCCTCGAAGTGCCATGTCCTGGCGTGCGGGCAGTGCTGCAGCCACCTGTGACAGCGCGCTGCCGCATCCTGGCTGTTCCCGCACAGCCCACCTCTGCAGTCGGGGGCTGGGTTCTCGCCAGCCAACACAGAATCCTGGTGGATGGAAGATCCCAATGGCAATTCCTAAATAGGTCCACAAAATATGTGCTTAGAAGGACTTAGCAGAGGAGAAAAGCAAGTTTGACAGCTACAGGAAATGACTAACTC